CACACAAAGTTTGATGGCCAACTCCATATTCTCCTGCCAATACCTCTTCTCCAGAACGCATTTCCTCTATCTCCTGGCTGGCTCATCAACTGTTAGTTCACAAACTGGACTAAACATAAATGGCATGATATAATTATAGAAAGAGGTAGGCTACACAAGACAAACAGGTGACTGGTTTAATAAGCAAGGGAGCTTATTCATGAGGCTTTTATTGGGTGGTCGCAAGATGAGTGAGTAGCTCTCTTCACCTGTGCATGGGAATCTTACAAGTTTGAGGCCTTCATGGGTTTTGGTCATATATAGCATCCAGGTGGTCTCAGAAACACACTGCTCTCCCAAGACTGAGTCCTTGGAACAAGTCCGAGTCCAGGGATGGTGAGTGGAATGTATATTCCAAAATAGTGGAGTGAATGAGGATCCCAACTGCCTGGGCCTAGCTCATGAGTCGAACACTGGCCAAATCCTCATAATGACCTCCTCCAAAAACATGAACACAACATTGATAACAAAAAATTATATATATTATTTTCCTCGAACTACATCTTCCAGAATTCTTGTATATATTTCATGATTTTTTTCAATAAATGTCATGTGTGGTTTATCTATCAAAAATAGTGCTGCCGTCAGCACCTGGGTGGCTCAGTTGGTGCAGCATGAGATTCTTGATCTTGATTCAGGTTGATCTCAGAGTTGTGATTTTGAGTACTGCATTGGTGTTTATGCTGGGTGTGGAGCCTAATTTAAATATATATATATAGAGAGAGAGATTCAACAATAGGACTTAAACCCTCTTTGCAGGGTAGTGTTCAGAGCAGTAGCTGTGTGTAGTTTTCACTTTCTTTTTTATTTATTTCTTTTATATTCCCATCATATCTCAGTAAAGAATTGATCTTCACATTTTTTTCCCTGATCAGCGTAACAATAAAAACAAGACACATATCTAGGAACTAGAAAATGGTTAAGTGAATAATGGAACATGAAATTCAATATGTATTTTGTGACCATTAAAATTATAATTATGAATACCGTAACATTAAAAGTATGTCTTTACTGCGTATTTTTTCTCTTAGGATATTAGGAATTATGTATGTGTAATCAAGGCAAAAAATCAATATGTAAAGCCAATGTGATTGTAAATTTGAAAAATTTAGTGCAAGAAGCACATCTGTAAACTATTTTTGACCAACCAGTATGCCTTCACTGAAAATAGTTTCAGAGTGAGACAAATTCCATTAAAGAAATTATTCTTTTTGTTCCCTTTTCTCAAATCTTTAATAAAAATGTTGGGAAATTACCTCTGAGGACTTGACGCTATCTCTGTTCAAGATTCTGCTCCAACATAAGTTGGGATCCACAGGGAATGCATGCACCCCTGGGCCACTTTCCTGGCTCCTATTAGGTGGTGGTTCCAGATCTATTATATAGTTGAGGTGAGCTGAAAAGGCAGAAGATTATAAAAAGACAGGCCAGGAATTTCGGATGATTCAGGACAGGTAATATCAAAATAACACAAAACCTCAAATCTCCATCACCAATAGCATGGAGAATGAGGCCCAGAGGACTTCATAAAGGTGAAAGGGGTATGAAAGCAGAATGGCATTGGAAGATTCAAATATGCCCTCAGGCAGTAAGAGTGAGGAAATTATGGGACGATGATTAGTATCTTCTATGAAGGAACTTCCTTATCAAACTAACAAGAGGCCATAAAATCATTTTTATTATGCTTTTCTCTTTCATTCTATCAATCCTATCAATTCTGATTTGACTGTGATGTTTCTTGTATCACAATTTTCCTTCTCTCCAGTAGCTTTACACTATTTCTATCTGATCTTTTCTCTAGGAAAGGCAGGCAACCCAGCTGAGGTTTTCCAAGGATAACTAATGGCAGTGAGAACAGGGAACCAAAAAGTAGCAGCTCTTTGACCTCCTATTTAGTCAAATCCTAAGACAAAACAGGTGTACACCAGAAGCAAGGACCACCCAGGTTTTCTAATCAAGGATCTGAGAGTGAAGAGTTCTAGGCTGTGATACAGAAGGAAGCAGTTGGAAAGAGAGGGGTTGTAAGTTTATTCTCTTTTTCCAATTCTGCATGCTCAGGAAGGCTAACTGCATTTGTCCTGTCTGCTGAAGAGAGAAGCAGGAGCTTTGAGACTTACCAAAGAAAAATCAGTTCCTGTAGCTTCAAGGGGACACAGAGAAAATAATTCCATGCAGGTATTGTGCCACTTGGCTTCCGGGGAAATAGACAATATGACAATGTCCCAGAGAGGATCCAGGCTGTCCCCCTCCTTCATGTTTACTCCTTACTTCAGAATACACCAAGGGCTCTGAATTGTTCATTCAGGACCCAGTCACTAAGTCTCCAGAAGAAAGTAAACTCCAAAAAATGGTGATTACAATGGTTGATGCCTATGGAAAGAAAATTTGCACAGAAGAATATTATTTCAGTAATGGGTCTTCTGCATGGGCCACATAATTCCCTAGAATGAAACGTATGTGGAATTTCACACTCGATATTTCAATTGCTGTTCAGTGTTTCTAAATTTGCTTAATTTTTCTCTGTAGCTTTTCTTAAATTTGGAAGACTCTTATCAGATTTTCCTCTTTTAAATCATATACTCTTAATATTTTATTGTTCTGCCAGATCACCCTTTCTTTTTATTTTCATTATTTCCTTGCTCCTATTTTTCTAGAGGTTATTGTTGCTGTTATTTTAAAATTCTTAATTCAATGTTTATTTATTTTTCTTTTAACAGTTATATAATAAAGTCAACGAACTCTATGAATTTACTGCAAACCCACAATTAGCATTATGCCATGCAGATGACAATGTTCTCATACTTCACAATTTTACAGGGACGTGTTGTTTTGAACTTGATTTTCTCTTTCATTGAAAAGCCAATCTGAAAAGCAAATTTAATTGTACAATGATGGGTGTGCTTTACTTGTCCTTTACATACTACTATCTCATTTCTAAACTGTTTTATTTGCTGAAATAAAGCGACTATGCAAAAGAAATATTGAAATAAACTATTTATTAGGCCAATTCCCAATTCCGTTACCAAGTAATTTGGGATTTCCTTTTTTTTTTTTAATTTAATTTTTTTTCAGTGTTCCAAAATTCATTGTTTATGGATTTCCTTTTTTGTCTTTTTTTCTTATTCATTTTAAATGAGAAAGATCAGCCTATGCTCACTGCTTCCCAACTCCAAAATTGAATGATATGTTTATCTCTTCTCCCATGCCATCCTCCAGACTTCAGAAGTAGTAATCCTTTTAATCCTTTTTAATCCTTTTACTCTGACTATACCTGAAGTGGGTGTTGGGGACCATGGCTCTGAGAAGTTCTGCATCTTCTATATATTTCTCAACAGAGATGGAGTTTTCTGCTCAATCACCCTTTGAGTCATCTTTGGAACAGTAATCGAACCTGCAGTTCTCACTTTTTTAGGCTCTCTCTTTCCTGTATCTTCAGCGGGTTTTAGTTGCTGTGATTTCTGTCTCTCTAAGGTTACCATGTGCCACAATCATTGTCCTTGTGTATCTGGTCTGTAAACTGTCCTCAGAGTTAACAGCAGGACCTGTGAGCATGGTACACCTCAGCTCTCTGCTAGACCCCACAACCTGCAAAACTCTGAATTCTGACTCTGTTGAATGGGAGGTTGGAGGAAAGAGGAGGTGCTTGATGGAGGATTGAGACATTAACTGAGGCATGAGGATTATTGCCTGCTTCAAAAATTGTTTCCTGTCGTAAGAGGGTGGCTCCTAATTTTTGCTTAATTTGAAGAGAAACATGCAGATGTGCCCTGGCTTAGAACATTTTGCTGTCACTCTTCTACCTCTCATTCCTTAGAAAAGAACCTAGGTTATATGAAATTAATATTATTTATTAATACATACAAATAAGATGTAGCATAGTGGATAATCTAGTGAAATTTAGGAAAGAATCTCCTGTTCTTTTCATTCTATAGTTTCATTGTCATATAAATCTATTTAAGGAACAGTTCTGGACAAGTGAATTCTAAATGAAGTGAGGCCATTACAGTTAGAGTTCTGCTATGATAATTCCCATTTAATAGCAATTTCCCTAGAAAGCCCCTCCCAGGATATATGGAAAACAATGCCATACTTCTAAATAGATCAAGGAAATCAAAAGAAACATTAGGAAGTCATTTGAAGCAAATGAAAATGAAAATGAAATTTGTTAGAATTAGTGAGAAATCACTAATGCATTACCTTTTTTTCTTCAAAAAGGAAAAATAATGCTTTTCTGTTATACAACTTTTTTTTTTAAATAAGGATTGTTATAAAGAAGCAATATTTTGCTACTGTCTCCTTGGGTGTACAATTCCCAAATTCTGCTAACAGATTGGTTTTTAATATTTTGGACTTTTCTCTCTGCCGTGGTATATACAAAGGGTATTATTTAAGCAACCATATCATGTATAATACACAGGAATTTTCTTTTGCCAATTAACAGTGTATCATCGTGGCTTCACCAGTGACGTTGATAGCACAAGGAGGCAGAGATAAAAGCTTATGTCTCATACAACTACTCCATCTTCACCCACATACAAACCAAAGGACATTCTTTGACTCTCAGTAGAGGCACTGATGTCTTCTGATTATGAACTTGATTTGAGGTATAATTTTATCCTTATTTTAAAGGTCCAGAATGCTTCAGAACCAAGATTAAGCATCATAACCATGAATCCTCTGACTCATACAAGTGGAATAAATCTCCCAGTTTATTCACATAAATTTTATTGCAGTAATCACTAGGGAATGTAATCATTGGTTTGCGTCAGTTTTTCCACTATTAGAAAGTTAAATTCTCAGGTTATGGATTGCATCCTATTTATCATTGTCTCCTTAGGGTATAAAACATTTCCAAATATTTTATATAAATTAACAAATGAAAACATCAGTAAATGAATGGACAAATGAACATGAAAGAGTCTACACCATCCTACAACTGAATTCAGCCAGGAGTTTCCATCATGTCAAATAATACGAATTTCCATCCCAGTACTTTTCTTCTTGGCATTCCAGGGATGGAGGCCATCCACACTTGGCTGTCAGTGCCCTTCTGCCTTGTCTACTTGAGTGCTCTCATGGGTAATTTTGCTATTCTATTTATTATCAGAGCAGATTCCAACTGCACCAGCCCATGTTCTTCTTCCTCTGTATGCTCTCTGTGGCTGACTTGATCATCTCCACTACTGCTGTGATCAAAATCCTCAGCATTTTTTGGTTCCACGGCAGGGAGATCTATTTTGAAGTCTTCCTGGTACAAGTGTTTCTCATTCATTTACTATGCAGCATGGCATCAGGTTTTATCTTGGCCATGGCCTTTGACAGGCATGTGGCAATCTGCGATCCTCTGAGACATTCTACTATCTTGACACATAGAGTCATCAAGAACTTGGGGCTGGCTATTGTCTTCCGTGGGGTTTTGCTCTTCAGCCCTCAACCCTTCATGCTTTGGTGGCTTCCTTACTGTAGAACTAATATCATCCCTCACACTTACTGTGAATTTATGGCTCTGATCAAGCTTGCTTGTGCGGAAACCAGGATCTGCAGAATCTACAGTCTGACTGCTGCCTTCCTCACTGGAGGTTTAGATTTACTACTGATCCTATGTTCCTATGTTATCATCCTTTACACGGTTTTCCATCTTCCATCCAAGGCTGCACAACTCAAGACCTTGGGCACTTGTGGATCCCATGTATGTGTGATTTTAATGGCCTACACTCCTGCTTTTTTCACTTTCCTTACTCACAGGTTTGGTCAACATGTGGCTCCTCATATTCACATCTTTGTGGCTAACATCCACCTCCTTGTTCCACCCATGGTGAACCCAATGATCTATGGCATTAGAACCAAGAGGATCAGAGATCGATTCCTTCAAGCTTTTACATTTCACAAATTCTGAAACAAGAACCTCTTCAACTATTCTTTCACTAAGTTGTTGACTTATAGAGGAAAAAAAGAAAAAAAAAGACATTAACTCTCCTTCTAAAAGCCCAATCCCTATATCTTCTATTTTTGATATTTAAAGTATTAATTATCATTGACTAGATTTTGATCTTCAGAGAATTTCTTGGGAAATGGCAGATTTAGGTTATTTATTCTTAACATATTTGCCTGATGATCCAATATCTCCACTACTATGTGCTCTTATCCGCCATGTTTGCTCCACAGGACTATCCTATTGTTCAGTCTTATCAGCTTTATCAGAGATGTTTTACTGACTCATATCTCGGACTTTTCCGGTGTTGTTGTACATTTGTAGGTCTTCACTAACAGGAATGTTTATATCTCCTGAATGATAAGACTGAAGGCATTTTAAATCTGTAAAATTGGAAATTGGCAAATTTCTGAATGAATTTTGGCAAAAATTCTGAATGGATGGGTGAAGAAATTGTCAGGATATGCTATGTAGAGAGTTCTTCTTGGAATTTTTTTTCATGTAGTCTTATTTTATTCTGTATACCTATAATTCTTTTAAAGTTTTTAAATGAAATTGCTTCCCACAAACACTCTTCTAGAAGACCTGATGATGTTAAAAATTGTCCTACCATTTTTCTTTTATCTGTTTACTCACTGTGGTTCAGGTTGACTCTGTTGATTCTTTGAAAATATCTGTAGTTGTCTGTCCATTCTTTGAAGGTCTTGCACATTCTAATACCATCTACTCCCAATCTATATTATAAATAGGGGAATATTCTGTTCTGGTATTTTCTTATAATTTATCTTTCTAGCTACTCTTGACTGTGATATTCCTTTTTTTTTCATTTTTAGAAGTTCAATGACTCATATTTATATGGAATCTTGTGTAGGATAGTCAGTATTGTATGTAATACAAAGATTTAGGCTTCTTTAAGATCTATTGTTAAAACAGTTTTGTCATTAGCCCATATTAGTATATGTTAGCAATTTCTGCTGCAGCTAGAATACCTCTCTCCATGTATATTTATTCAGGATCATGTCAGTTTTTACCTTGAAATTTTTATTTCTTCTTTCTGGACAAGTGGGTTATCAGGTGCCAGGTATAACATGACCACTTTTTTGCTGATTGCCATATGATTTCACACTTTCTCCCTTCAAAATAAAGTGCTACCTGTGTGTTCATATTTCTGGTAGTCTAAATTTCTTTTATTATCCTCTATTACACATTGCCTTAGATAAGATATATATATTTGCATATATACAATTCTAAGAGAGGCAATAAAAGGTAATGTTTGAGACAACTGCTCAGGTTTGAGTCTCCAAACAACCACTTACAAACTATGTTGTAACTTTTCAAGATATGGTAGCTTTCTGCCTCAGTTTCTTGAATGATGAAATGGAGACATTGACAGGAGTTATTTCAGAAAATAATCTTGACACTTTAAAAATTTTTCCTACATGTAATTAGGCTCCACTGGAATTAATTTATCAGGATCTTGAAAAGTCAGAGCCTGAAAGTAAAAATTGTTCAGCAACTGTGTTTAAATTGGAATCAGGGAAACAGGAAATAACTTCACTTTTTAGGGGTATATTTTTATTAATTCTGCTGAAAAATGATGAAAATTTGCCAGTGAACACAGAAAAGATGAAGATTCAAGAAAGAAGAAAAGAGTCCAGTTAGAAATCCAGACTGGGGCACCTTGGTGGCTCAGTTGGTTAAGCAACTGCTTTCAGCTCAGGTCATGAACTCAGCATCCTGGGATCAAGTTCAACATCAGGATCCCCCTGCTCTGCAGGGATCCTGCTTCTCCCTCTCCCTCTACTGCTTCTCCTGCTTGTGCTCTCTCTCGCTTGCTCTCTTTGTCAAATAAATAAAGTCTTTTTTTAAAAAGCTAAGATAATATTCTCAGAATCATTTTCATATTCAGATTTATACTGAATGTACACAGATATACTTAAGACAAAAGTGATGACTTTGGCTCATGATCCCACTGTCATAGGTAAAGGTTTTTTGCGTGTTTATTTTTTTTTTTTTTAATTTTTGTTTTCTGGATCTGTGTGTATGAATACTAGTTAATATTGAAGAAGTGTCTTCAATTATTTCTAGATCAATCACAACACATTCTGGTAGTCAGGACGCTAGGCCACTAAACACATAATAGGTCAGCCAGCTGCTTAATTTAAAAACATTCACACAATGAATGTATGTTAGAATTCTACTATGGCCCAGTAAGTGCTGAACATGCAGTAACAAACAAGGATGATATGAAGTATATGGGCTCTTTGCTTCATATAATGTCCACCTAACGGAGAGAGGGCATTTGAGAAATTGCATAAAATAAATTATTTAACACATAAATTCAGTAAAGATTTTCACATTTTGAAAATGTATAAAAATGGATGAGGTAGTCTGAGGGAACAAAAGATAGATGTCTAGAAAGATAAAGCATTCATCTCATGTCCCAGGTCTTATTGTGACCATACACGGAAAAGAGATAACTTGATTATGTGAGTGAAGTAACAGACTTCTGGTTGTAGCAGGAATGACAGCTTTACTGTTCGTAAGTCAGGAATTGTCCCTTACTGGCACAAAACAGTATTGTGCACCATGCTATAGAATAACGTTAGACTTGCAAGCAAACAACTGACTCAGCTGCTTAACTGGGAAAGAGGACACAGGCACAGTTTCCCTCACCATGACTGAATTACTACTCATATCTAAGGACCCAAATCCAGAAAAAAGATTATGAAAGTTGGAGTGAAGGTAAATTTGTGCTGGGAGAAAGACTTACCTTCTCCACTTATGGAATATAAAATGGTCCTAGACATATCTGAGATAATGTGAATGATAATGCCATTGGTATGGATGATGGTTACTGGCTAAACTAACTCATTCCTCTTGGCTGGCATTAGGAAGGTATACCTGCAAGCCCATATACCAAAGGGCAACAGGCTTTGGCATTTATCAATAAGGGATATGTGTGAGGGTCCCTGCCATGAGATAGGACAAACGCTAAAGCTAAATACCAGACCACAAAGCTAGACAGAGCTATAGGATATGAAACTGTGCACTCAGTGCTGCAGTGACTCCAAATGCCTCAACAGCAGATGTGTGGGTTGGCTTTTACTCCACTAGAACTCCAACTTATGGAGAAGTACCTAGAAACTTCTGCATCTCTCCTGAGGGATGGAATTTTTGTAGAACAGCCAGACTTCAAGGGCAGATGCAGAAGTGGCAGTGCCAGTTTGACCTGGTGATGTTCTATGGACAACAGTGTTTATATCAGTGTCATCACTGTACAGCTGGACAAAAACCTTTTAGTTGTGACTGTTATACTAGAATATTCTATCCTAGAGCTTAGCCAATATTCTCTGCTATCATATAGCAGGTGATATCCTATATCACATTGGGAATGCAGACATACAGAACTCCTCAAAATGAGAGGTCTTCAGTTGGTTTATTTAAAGTTCAAGTTAGGAAACTATGAATGACAGTTTCTTACTTTTATTGGAATTGACTGTGCGTTAAGATAAAATGTCAATAATGGTGGGATGCAACAAAAGCAGTGGTCGAAAAGAAATCCCAAGCTTATAATGTAAATATTCCAAAGGACAAAAATTTGAAAATCAGTAAGCTTTCTTATAAAAAATTAAAAGAATTGTAAATTAAACAAAAAGGAAGACATTGATAAAGATAAAATTATAATTTAGATGAATGAATAGAGGTAATAGCAGTTTTTTTTTTATAATTTTATTTTTTATAAACATATATATATATATTTTTTTTCCCCAGGGGTACAGGTCTGTGAATCTCCACGTTTACACACTTCACAGCACTCACCATAGCACATACCCTACCCAATGTCCATAACACCCCCCAACCCCCCTCTGCCCAGCAACCCTCAGTTTGTTTTGTGAGATTAAGAGTCACTTATGGTTTGTCTCCCTCCCCATCCCAACTTGTTTCATTTACTCTTCTCCTACCACATTAACCCCCCATGTTGCATCTCCTCTCCCTCATATCAGGGAGATCATATGATAGTTGTCTTTCTCTGATTGACTTATTTCGCTAAGCATGACACCCTCTAGTTCCATCCACGTTGTCGCAAATGGCAAGATTTCATTTTTTTGATGGCTGCATAGTATTACATTGTATATATATACCACATCTTCTTTATCCATTCGTCTGTTGATGGACATCTAGGTTCTTTCCATAGTTTGGCTATTGTAGACATTGCTGCTATAAACATTCGGGTGCACGTGCCCCTTCGGATCACTATGTTTGTATCTTTAGGGTAAATACCCAGCAGTGCAATTGCTGGGTCATAGGGTAGTTCTATTTTCAACATTTTGAGGAACCTCCATGCTGTTTTCCAGAGTGGTTGCACCAGCTTGCATTCCCACCAACAGTGTAGGAGGGTTCCCCTTTCTCCGCATCCTCGCCAGCATCTGTCATTTCCAGACTTGTTAATTTTAGCCATTCTGACTGGTGTGAGGTGGTATCTCATTGTGATTTTGATTTGTATTTCCCTGATGCCAAGTGATATGGAGCACTTTTTCATGTGTCTGTTGGACATCTGTTGGATGTCTTCTTTGCAGAAATGTCTGTTCATGTCTTCTGCCCATTTCTTGATTGGATTATTTGTTCTTTGGGTGTTGAGTTTGCTAAGTTCTTTATAGATTTTGGACACTAGCCCTTTATCTGATATGTCGTTTGCAAATATCTTCTCCCATTCTGTCAGTTGTCTTTTGGTTTTGTGAACTGTTTCCTTTGCTGTGCAAAAGCTTTTGATCTTGATGAAATCCCAATAGTTCATTTTTGCCCTTGCTTCCCTTGCCTTTGGCGATGTTCCTAGGAAGATGTTGCTGCGGCTGAGGTCAAAGAGGTTGCTGCCTGTGTTCTCCTCAAGGATGTTGATGGATTCCTTTCTCACATTGAGGTCCTTCATCCATTTTGAGTCTATTTTCGTGTGTGGTGTAAGG